ATATATCAGAAATCTGTGTCATGCTGGGATTAGCTGTTGTTTTTACTGACTTTACATTCAAGTTATATTGTTTTATTTTAGATAAGATAAACTGCAGTACAGGTACCAAAGCGTAGTATGGACGTCTTTGAAAACAGATACTTAAAAGTAAAAAAAAATCCTGTACCTTTGAACTCGTAAGTTATTAATCAAAACACAAGACTTAACACTTAACTCACTGAAGTATTCTGGGCCAAAAAGGGTGCAAGTGCACATACTAAAAAATAGTTTTTTTCAGTAAATGTCAAAATATTGTACATTAAGTATATTGTCATCTACACATTTATGAAGTTTTAATATTGAAGAATAAATTCAATAAACAAAGTCAGGACAAAGTACAGTCATTTTCTTGTTTTGGTTGTCCTGTAAAGTTGGTCAAATGTCACTTATGCCCCTCTGGTTCTCACCCCTATATATACATTATCAGCATATACTACACACAAAATAAAGCATGAAGACAATATTTAATGGTATAAAAACAATGTATACATAAATCCTCAATTTGCGCGAAACATGGCCTTATTCGATGTAAGCTTATACTCTGTACTTACCACACTAAGGCTCAGTTAGCAAAACAAGTATGAGAATGTTGCCCCAGCATGTGATAAATGTCAGCAGTCCCCCTGCAAATCTTGTTAACTCTTTTTGGCTCTGTCCTTCGCTTTGCAAATATTGGGCAGATTGTTTTGCTACCCTGTCGGAAGTTACGGTGGAGCAAATTGAACCTAATGCTCTTTGTGCTTTATTTGGTATTTCTCCCTCATCATCTTCTCCACACAATCCCCAAAAGGATATTATAGCCTTTACAACCCTATTGGCCAGACAGCTAGTATTGATCACCTGGAAATCAACTCTCATACTCTCCGTATGAGGGACATCCTATATTTTATCAGACTGGAAAAGATTGGGCACTTGGCTACTGGTTTATCTAATAAATTTAATGATACTTTTTTTCTTTCTTTTTTGTTTCTTTTCTTTTCAGTAAGTTAAAAGGATTAAGTTCCCCCATAGCAACCTACATATTTGACTGCAAGGGTTGTGTAGCCAGTGTCAGGTGTGTTTGGTACTGCCAGTCTTAACCTGTACTTTTTTTTTTTTTTTTTTTTTTTTTAACTGACTGATGTTTTTGTTTTTTGTTTTGTTTTGTATTTTTTCCTTGTTGGGGTATTTCCAGTTATGTTGTTGACTCTTCACCTTCCTTTAGAAAATGCTATTGTACGACTATAATTGACCGACTACATGTACATTTGTACAATGTGCACCTTTGTTTAACTATGGTCTTTTGAAAAACCCAATAAACAAAGTTTAAAAAATAAATAAGTTTTACAAATGGAGACATTTGTATTAAAAGGTATTTCGAGGGAAAATGGTCCTTAGTGGCAGTAACACTAAGGGTGTTTACCTATGTTAGGTAATTTATTTTTCAAAGTCACCCAAGTGGGCTTACAAGACACTACAAAGGCAACAAAAACAAGAGCAATAATATAATGCTAGGTAAATGGCAAAGATAATACACCTTCATGCATGTCAAACAAAGTCCAATAATGACAAAGCAGATATGAACACAGTCCTGCTCCTTAGACATTACTGCCATAAAACAAAAAGACTATACCTTTAACTCATCAAAAATAAAGCACAGTCCTGCGCTGTTGATACTGAGCTTGGTGAAACACTTTGTCAATAAATGGGAAGTCTACGTTCATCAGACATAGAAAACAAACCAGGACATTAAGGAAAAGCCCAGTGGTGTAGTGGAGGGGATTCTCAGGTATACTGGCTGTACCCACCTCTTATTCTGTCTGTTTACAGTATACCAATCTGTCAGTCAAAAAGCCATTGGAATACAAAGGAGAGTGTTCCTACTTCCTCCTCTGTAACCTAACCATCTACCTAGTAGCAAACCCAGCTTATCAATGACTGCCGCACCACTAGAAAAACCTTTAAGATTGATAGAACAAAAAGTGTGTTTCATTTTCGATCTCTCTCAGATCACACAGGTGACATTTTATTTTCCTTCTGGAATTAAGTGGAAGCGTCTGGTTTCCACTGTCAGGGGTTAGATACTACATCTCAGTCACATCTCAGCTGGGCACACACTGACCTTTGTGCTCTGGTCAGATCAGGTTAAAGGTGACAAATGTACATTAGTGCTTCGGATGATAAATACGCTTAATCAGACTATGTTCTATGTTCTTCTGCTGATCATTTTAAGTTTGTAATTTTTGAATTGTATTGTATTTTTTGGGAAGTCTGTCTTTGGATATGTTGGTTAATCTGTTCCACAGTCAGAAACTGTCACCCTTATAGTGCACTTCACGTGACTCTTTCCTGTTTTCGAATGAGGTGGCTTTCTAGATCATTGGTTTCTGGACAGTTGAGTACAGATTTATAATAGAAAGTCGAGCTGATCCTCTGGAGATCTCTGCAGTGACACCCTCACAGGGTTCAACAGTTGACTTTTCCTTGCACAGTGGGGCATGTCAGGGGGTCATGATGAGGTCAAGACACTGCTGGCTCACCCTGTGTTTCTCTTTTTCCCAGATCCTGGATGAGATCGCTGAGCATGGGATCAGAATTTACCAGCTACCTGACGCCGATTCCGACGAGGACGAGGAGTTCAAGGAGCAGACCAGAGTCCTGAAGGTGAGAAAGGGATACACAGTTGACGTCAGTCAATACAGAACTACGTCAGACACTTCCCTCTGCTGGTTTAGTGATAAATACCTTTCTCCTCCTATTCATCCTAGCTTCCTTTTACTTCATCCTCTCCTCTCTGATACCTTTATTTTCCATATCGCTTATTCTGACTTTGTTTCTCTCTTGGGATCCTCTGACCTTTATCTTCCTATCTCAGGCAAGCATTCCCTTTGCTGTGATTGGCTCCAATCAGCTGATTGAGGTAAAGGGGAAGAAGATCCGTGGTCGTCTCTACCCCTGGGGAGTTGTTGAAGTGGAGAACCCTGAGCACAATGACTTCCTCAAACTACGAACAATGCTTGTGTGAGTTTCCCTGGCAAAAAAAACTGCTTAAGTAATAGGATTTTCTGAAGGGAAGTCTTAAAAACCTTCCTCTTTGAGCTGGCTGTTAAAGTCACTAGAGAAAAAGTTTACAGCAAAGCTCTACTGCCTCCCTGTGTGCAAAGAAAGCATTGTATGTTTGTTGTTGCAGGACACACATGCAGGACCTGCAGGAAGTAACTCAGGATCTGCATTATGAGAACTTCCGCTCAGAGAGGCTGAAGAGAGCGGGCAGGTAAGAAAACAATTTATATCACACAAATAGCAGATGAGCTGCTCTGTTTCAAGCAAGATTTATAAACTAATGTGTTCTGTTTCTCTGCAGGGCTGTGGACGAGGATGTGCTGGATAAAGATCAGATCCTGCTACAGAAAGAGGCAGAGGTAAGAACACACACACTGCTTCCCTTCTCATTTTGTGCTAAAATGTGTCTGGTTGTTTAAATGACAGGTGGATATCTGTAAATACAGGTTTATGGACTGCTAAAACAGATAAAGAGTTAGAGTCAACATTAACATATCATAGGCGTGTTTAAAGAGTTGTAATCATTCAAGTAATCAATCATGTAATTATTCTTCCTCTCCTCTCCTCGTCCTGGCTGTGACTTGTTTACTTCTTGATGCTTCCTTATGCTTCCAGGGGCCCAGTGGTTTCAGTTCATTTCAGTACACAGTAAAAATCAACTTAAAGAGAGTTATAGTCCCTGTGAAACTGAAGTTAGAGCGTCTTTAGCTTCTGCACTGTGACATATTTCTCAGTGAAACAGAATATGTAAGCGGTGTTCAGTTATAGGAGGGATTTGAATTGAATCCTTTGCATATGGTTGGACTGTTAAAAAGTGGGTGGGCCTAGATTTTAGTGCAATACAGTGCTAAAGTGGCAAGTGCCGGACTGTTGGCTCCCAACGCATCTCTCTGTTAGATTAGGAGGAGTAAGAGGCACAAGAGAGAGTTAAATGAATGAGACCACCACATTGTTTTGAATGAAGACAAAGACTTTGCCCACTGTTATCGCTTCTTATTTCTCTCCATATTGCTCTGTTAGCTGCTACAACCCACAAACAGTGAAGTGCGCTCTTATATGACCATCGTGGCCAGCAAGTCGCCCGAAGTCTCATTTGATACATTTTGAAAACACTCCTAAATATAGGGAAAGCCATCAGACATTTGAAACTGTTTTACAGGAAGAGAGAAAACAGGGACTTCGATGAAAAAATGCTCTGATACAGATTTCTTTTACATATATTTGCCATATAACAAGAGATGAATAATCACTAACACATTAACACTAACACAATCATTAACAGAGTGTTACTGTATTATAACTGGCAAAATGTATTGTTCATTTCATGGGGACTTTGAATTTTGCTCAACATACTGTACTTGATGTATCACATATGCACACGTCTGCACTGGTTTTTGTTAAAGTAACAGAACTACACAGGAGTAAAGTAGATCTCTGCCATGGAAATTAGTCCAAAGAATTAATGTTTTTATGAGCAAAATCATAATCACTGTAAGATATGACTGCAGGCATGTGTTTTGGCAACTAACTGAATTTTAGGTGGGTATATTACTTGAACCTTTCATCTTTAAAAATTAAACAGTTTGTCTAAATATTTCAAAAGGTGAAATATGGCTGCATGCTTTTAGAAAATTACTGGCATTATAGAAGGTGTAAACACAGAGAGGTTATTTGGCCTAAATATGTAAAACTACCATCAAGATCTTTTAAATCCCGATATCTATGTTTCAGTGTACATATGGGCACGTGAGTGTTGTATTAAGACAGACTTATCCTTTAAAAACACATGATGTTCTGTTTATTTGAACAGTATCCTGAGCACAGTATGTGGTGACGTGTAAATGCAGAGTCACCCCGACGGTGTTGGAAAACTGCCTCGTCATCTTTGTTGTACATAATGCATTATAACATTAACATTATGGCCTTGGTTTTACTAGCTGTCAATTCTTCAGTGTGACGACATGTTAGAAAGATAAAAAAATCTTTATTTCTTATGACACCACTATCTCCCATATGTATTGTTTACATTTTGGGCCATGGAGCCTGAGAGTCACCAGGTAATAACCTGTTTCCTGATTGCTCTTGATTGGCCTGTTTGTGTTGCTGCTGTAACGTACCGTAGTGAGCGGGTGGGGTCCAATCAGAGCTGTTTGTAAACAATGTGCCCAGGCAGGATATGCCATCACTTCCTGCCTGGATGTCCTGGCCCAGTTTTATGGTGGGAATGACCTCAGTAATGTGAGAAGCCCGAAACACAAAGCTGCAGAGACATGGGCTTCATTTGTTTACATGTTTTTAGGATTTTGGGTGGGAGGGAAAGTACTATTGTACTTACGGATGAACTACACATGTAAAGGTTAATTTTACAGATCCCTTGTTGCCTCATAATTTCAGGGAAGGCAATGATAAGTTACTCTTATTTCTTAGAAAAGTTTATGGAAAGAACAATAATAATAATAATAATAATGATAATAATGCAACCTAAAAGAAATGTAATGAAAAACATATGTATACAAATAAGAAAGTACAATCATAATAAACACATTATAAAATTCCAGGAAAAACTTATTTAGATAGGTGAGTTTTTAGTTGTAACGTAAAATAAAATGTAGTTTCATACAAATTACCCCCATATTAATTGGTAGTGTCTTTGCACAATGGGTCAGCTCTCAAATTTGTCTCTCTGTGTAGATTTAAAGTACAGGCAAACATACAAAATTAAAGTTTATAATTAAAAAAAATTAAATTGATCTCTTAATTTTTGCAGTAGTTTAGTTTAAAGAAAACACACCATCAACAACTGCTTAATGTCCTGGCTTTTTCCTAAAAATTCAGTTAATTGAAGTGGCATTTACTATGTGTGCTGTCTCAGAACAATGTATATTTTCCTTAAAATAAGCGCCAAATTACATTTCTTTCCAGGCAATGTTTTAGAAAATTGTTAAGAAACTAAAGGAGCCTTACAAGAGCAGTGTGCATGATTCAGGGGGCAGAAATGGAATATAATAATAACAATAATTATTATGTTTTCATTATATATAATTACGTGAAACTAAGAATCATGTTTTCAGTAGCTTAGAATTAGCTGTTTACATATACAGAGGAAATGGGTTCTGTTGCACCACCATGTTTCTATAGTAGCCCAGAATGGACAAACCAAACAAACACTGGCTTTAGAGAGGGCCTCTTACTTTTTACATTGAAGAGGCAGCTTGAATTTGGTGGCTAAAATGCACCCAAAGGCCACTGTAGGTTACTGCAACCTCACCATTGGATGACCCTAAATCCTACACACTGATCTAGGTCATCTTACCCTATTTTATTCATATTAAACCTCCATTTAATACGAAATAATATATGAAATTGATAAACAATTGAAGTTGTCGTCAAGGTAAGTCACTGGGAATATGCTCTAACGTTTATTGTTAAGCAATCTATCTTTAATCTAAAATTTTGGCTGTCAAAACAGCTGCAAAATGTATGCTGATACTTCAGCCTTTCAGTCTTCAAGAGCAGCCATGTGCACACCACTCCCTCTCGCGCTACGTATGTACATATATATATATACAGTACAGGCCAAAAGTTTGGACACACCTTCTCATTCAATGCGTTTTCTTTATTTTCATGACTATTTACATTGTAGATTCTCATTGAAGGCATCAAAACTATGAATGAACACGTGGAGTTATGTACTTAACAAAAAAAGGTGAAATAACTGAAAACGTGTTTTATATTCTAGTTTCTTCAAAATAGCCACCCTTTGCTCTGATTACTGCTTTGCACACTCTTGGCATTCTCTCGCTGAGCTTCAAGAGGTAGTCACCTGAAATGGTTTTCCAACAGTCTTGAAGGAGTTCCCAGAGGTGTTTAGCACTTGTTGGCCCCTTTGCCTTCACTCTGC